AAAGCGAAAATTGTGTTCTTAGAATTTCGATGAATCTGCTGGAATTTTATAATCTCGAGAAAAGGAAATACACACTGAAGATTTATTTATAAAAATTTTATAAGCAAAATTGTTCACACAAATTTCTCATATTTAAAGCTTTTCCTACCACTTTTATTTCCATGACGAACATTTTGCCGAAATTATTACCGTAAAAAGTACCTACTTATAATAATATTTTTAGTATGTATCAATATTTTCATGTACATATGTATATACTATATATAGTTAATTCCCAACTTTGGCTATTTTTATTTGAAAACTATATTTGTGAATACCTCCAATAACTTCGATTATTGCGCAATTAAATACAGTGCACTTAATGCCGTTATAAAGCTTACACACCTGTTTACCACTTTAAAGTAAAATTCCAAACACGCAGTAATGCAACTCTGAATTTTTTTTTTTTTTCAAATTTGTTGATACAATTTACACGATTTTCAAATAAAATGTAAATCCAATTAGTTTTGCTGTTGTTGTCTTCAACTAAGCTACACTAAATATCGGTCTGGTGTCGRCGATTGCCGTTTTTAAACTGAAAGGAAGAACCGGCGGTCTCATTGTTTCGTTTCAATTTAAATTGCTCACATTCGCTCAATACATTCGCAATATTTCGGGCCATTTCGAAAATGTATAGTATTKTATGCGTTTTGTTCTTGAATGCTGTGTTTCGCTTTTTCGTTTTATTCGTAGAACCATCCACAGACATACAGACAAACAGTTAGACAGAGCCTGTTTACATTTACATATCAATATTTCATGTTTACATTTGTAAGCTGGTGTGTGTGTATATGTGTATGAAATTCATACTATGAACTTGAATAACTGTAAATATTGTCAAAGCCTTGAAAATAATATTTTTTGTTTTTATGAAAATTGGTCTACACAATAATGGCTGATTCATATATTATGTACATTATAGCGGATCGTTCTAAAGGCCGCCAAAAAGAAAAAAACACGTACGCTGGAATTGTTTTGCGGATTATTCTGAACAACCTTGCTTTATAAACTATGGGTCTAAATTCGGTTTCGTGTCAGCAATTTTTAAGGCGAAGTTGGAAAAATCTGAATAATCAGTCGTATGAAAGATATGTTATGGAGTTGTGATCAACAGAACATCAAAATGCACGTACGTTCTAAATTTCATTCGGATAACTCAAAAATTGACGAAAAATTTTTATAAACTTCAAAAAGTACGCCTTAAAAAATCAGTGGTTCGAAAGCAGTTTTAGACTTATAGTCTCTTACGCAAAGTTATTCAGGCTCCCTATAAATTGACCCGCTCTAATGTACTTACATAAGTAATACTTTTCTCGCTTTGCTTGACAGTTCATAGTAATAGTGAAAGGAATGTATGAGTAAATGTAATCGTTTTGATTTTTCACAATGGCTGTCGATGTCATCGGTTCATAATGATATCCCTTTAACATTTAATCTTTCGCTGTATGTATGTATATATGCCGGTAAATTTGTTTTACAGTTATGTGCGAAATATCCTCAAAACGTTAGTCATTGTTATAAAACTCAATTTTGATAAGGTCGGTTTAAACGTTAACTTCGACTTTCCGAAGCCCTAATATCCTTCGCAGGTTAACAGGTCAGTTTA